CTTCTACAGTTGTTAGTAATATGATTTCATTTATATAATTTAGAAATAAATTATTCATAATAAAAAGCGTAAATTCTATTTAAAGAATTGGCCTATAGTTAAGATTTGATATATTTAACTTGTATTTCATTTTTCTAGAAAATTATGAAGACAAATACTGTTGCGTAACAGAAAATTAATTACAATTTTCTAGAAATTAATATACAAATTAGGCTACATGTATTTTAGAATATTCAACAGCTAAAGGGCCTGAAGCGTAGCCATAGCCGACGTAAGGGAGGATCCAAGTTAAAATCTAATATGAATGCTACACATTTTAATAAATTTTCTACTTTAAGTCTTAATTATAACGAACATATATAAATTACCATTATATAAGTCAGTAGTTAACTCCATAATTAAATTATTTATTCTGTATTCTTAACTTTCTCTTTACGAAGGGAGAGTCTGGATTAAGCCAGTGTAAAAGACTCTGAATTGTTTTCTGTATTAAACAGATATTTAAACTAAAATAATATAAATGCTGTTAAAATTTTAAAAAATTATATTTATACAAAGCAATTTTTCTGCTATTTGAATTAGTTATTAATTGCTGTTTAGTACGTTTTCAGTTTTCACAAAAAGCAGCTTGCTTTGTTGTAGGTGACAAGTAAACCTAATCTTAAGAAAACACGTTGCATCGTTCTGTCTTACTTCTTTCATATTGACAGTTGAATAGTGAACAATACAAGTAATTGTACTGTGGTGATTGCCAGTCGGTTTAGATGTTTCTTTATAAATATAAGACTTGTAAATGAAAGAACAAATATTCTGACTGATAAGCGCGAGGAATGCTTTAAGAACTCGAAGAAACAATGATAAGATTTTAAATATTCGATGCATATTTACAGGTCCATGTATTGTTAAAAGTTAGACAAATGTATATTGTTTGTACTTGTTTTGATAATATCATTCCTTAAAGAATTTATCTAGATTCGTTTCAAAGCAGATATTTATTTAACGTATTATTTTCCTGCAGGTTGTATATAGCAAGCGATTCTTTAAATCGATTTTGTATATAATAGTGAATAATAAATACAATGCAAGTATTTAAATAATTTTTACTTCTTGTATATTTATTATATTTAAATATTCAAATAAAAATTATGGATGGTTAGTTAACTGATTTTCAGTGAAAATCAGTTAACTAGTGAAAATCAGTTATGTTAGTAAAATAGAAATGTTTCGGGTTATTCTAATTGTAAATTGATATTTTATCTATCGAGATTTTTTGGAATTACGTTTATACACGAACAATATAATTAACTTAATTTTATTAACAGAAAACTACATTTATTTTATTACAGCATTATCTAATAAGTTTCCTTTATTGCGAGAATAAAATATATAGATCTTGGACCAGGTATAAAAAACTTTCAATTTTCCACATCTCTGTGGAACACTTAAAGATTTTACTTATCTTTAAAGAATTTTAATGTTTTTTCCCTAAGATTTTTCCCTAAAAACTCCTTTGTATATAATTTTAAGTGGTTCAAAGTATTAAGTCTCTTCAGTACATATGTAATAGACAAAAGAATAATAATAATTCTTACAAGATAAATCTTTTTCCTCTTCGTATTTGTTTTCTTATCTAATCTACTAATTCGAAAATATCTTATGTAACATATATGTCTCGAGTATTTTCCTATCGCTTCTCTATAAATTCCATTGAGTACTGAGAAGAAAAATGAGTATCAAGCATAATATATATATTTTTACCGCACTAAATCAACATATAATTGAAATCTTTCAAATTATTATTATTATTTATTTAAATTCAGGTTTCTCTTTCGATCACTACTACTTACTAATTACTAATTAAAAGTTAATTGAATTTCCTCCAATAAAAAACTCATTACAGTGTGTCGTGACTCGAACATAGAGACTAGCGAATAGCTAAATCGGTGAATGTACCCATATATAACAAGAAACATCAACTATCACAAATAGATGACCAAAGAATAAACCTAGTTTATAAACTACACGTATCAACTCGTATTGTAGACAGTATTTATTAACTCCTGTTCTTTTTGTCGAAAATGTCTGAAATGTCTAAAGTTTTTTAAATAGAATATCATAACAGAGACGCCACCAAATGTTGCCGGGAAAGTTAAGCAACTTGTTACTGAATTTTTTGAAATATTGGAGAGGTCAACATCAAACGTGTGCACCACATACACTAGTATAAGATGCAATAGAAGAAAAACATCTGTGTAAAAACTCATTACCCTAGGAACATACTTTAATTGCAATCTACGCTTTAGCTGCTACTAACAACGAAAAAAAAACCCACACCTCTTAGGTTATATCATGCAATTTGTATTCCTAAAGTCTTCCGTTAGACATGCTTGTTTATAATTGTATTTTATATGAATAATTATCTCATTTAGGCATGATTATTTTAATTTGATTTACTAATTTTTTGTTTACAAACAAATCTGTATATTTAAATTTGAGTTTTCTATTAACGATGAACCTAGTCATGAAAGCAGAGTGCTGCAAATTGTATCATCGTTAAATAAAGGAATGGTTTTGCAAGTCATTGATCACTGGAGTGCGGAACATATTTTAAGGTTTTACAACAGAGAACGTAAATCAAAAAAGACAAACTATCCTTACGCATAGTTTCCATACAAAAATATCAAACACTTATGAATACCGAAATACGTATTTAAATTCATTTTACATATTGCTTCACGAAAAAAATTCGCCCGAATCTCTGGCGACGTTTTAAATACATTATTTTATTTTATTTTATTATTTTTTCCCTTGTTTAATTTTAAGTTATAAAATAATATAAAATCCACTAAACCGTTACTGCAATTTTAAACTATGTTAAAGTTAGAATTTTTCTAATAAAATTACCTGTTTGCCTTACGAGGAAACTACTTTTTGTTATGGGATTATATTTGTTTGGTGTAGCGTTGCAGTACAATGACCTTATAAGATTATAAATCTATCATATATAAAAATGTGAGCATTGAATTTGTAAGCCAATTTTTATCAGTTTTACTTCAAAAAAAAGAAGGTTATCCGTCCACACCGCGTGACGTTAATCAAATTTGTTTTTATAATCGATAAAACAAAGACGAATAATTTAAATAGAGTTTTAGCAATTTTTTTCTGCTTCTTTTTTAATTTAATTCGGGAAAGAACCAGATTAAATAAGAAATTAAATCTTAGTTAATTATTCTTATTGATTGTCTTCAACTGAATAATAAATAAGCATAAAAATATATAATCCTGTTATTCTTATGTCGTCATTAAAAAGAATAAATCAGTTTAATTTTAATATTCTCTACTTATTTATCGATTCTCAGAATATTGCAAAATTCCTTATTTTATATAGCCTTTTACGTAGCCTAATGTTTTAAAAATGCAGATTTAACGTTATTCAAACTTTATATCAAATTTCACTAATACAGTGAATTGCTCTTGTGAAAAAAAAATGGCCGCTAGAAAAATATTTTCGTACTTTTCGTTTTATCAAATCACTTTCTTTTAAATGTTAAATTCGAGCCAATAAAAGGATCCGTTCTTTTCATATAAATGCGATCAATTTGGCGAGAATAAATTACATTAATTCGGTTATCATGAATATAGAAAGAATATAATAACTAATTGAATGATAACATTAAGCGATGATTGATTAAGAGGAAAAAAATGAAATTTCAGATAAAGTTTACGTCTATTTTGATTATATTAAATGTCGATTTTGGTGTCGGTTTGTTCTTCAAACGAAATAGAAAAAAGCCTATTCTAAAAGTGTGTTTTGAAAGTGAATACAGGATGTATGAGTAAAAGCTGATTTGTTTGTAAGCAATCAATCAAACATTGTTTGTAGCTAGTCAATTAAGACCGATCGTTCCTTTCTTCTTAGTGACGAATTTAATGAATTGATATTCGATTCGAATAACAATGAACGGATGAATATAGAAACATATAATTTATAAGAGTTGAGGTCATTGCTTATCTAACATTTAAAGCATTAGATCTATCCATTTTTATCATTATGAAACGATACCCGAAGCGACGATTTCTAAACGTTATCGATTACTGTGGTATAAAGAAGAAGTAGAGCTTATATTCAATTGACCACAACAGCAACAACAACATCGATATATTCTCTTGTTAGAAAAATTCGGTTCAGATTTAAAATGGAGTAATGAGTTTATGGACGAAATTTCACGAAAACATTTTTAATTTTTCTGAATAACATCAAATATTTATACATTGTAATTAAGATATTTACAGAACAAACTTTTACTTTTCCATAATTCAATTTTATAATAACATTTAATTAACATTAGAATTAGAGGAGAAAATTTTAATTATTATTTCCAATATTTCAAAAGGGCAGACGAATAATAAAAAGTTGAATACGACGATTTGATTATTTAATTAACCCATTTTAATCTGGCTTCTATACAGTTTTACGTCAATTTGACGTCATTCTAAAAGTTTCTCATTACAATAATGTAGAAATGACGTCAAACTGACGTAAGGTGCACACAAACAAAACTAATGTATTATATAAAATGACCACAGTAAAGAAATTGATCAATGTTTTTGTATTCATTTTGTAAATGGCTTACATGTTAAATTTAAAATTAAATAATAAATTAAAGCCTTTATTTCTGTACGAATATACTTATATCGCCATTCTGAATTTTAGATAATTCGTTTAAAATGATATTTATTATATTTTACTTTCTATCCTTAAGCCCAAGTTTTCAAGATATAAATTTAACTTTTAGCCTAAATTTTTCAATGCAAACTAAAAGAAAAATAAATTTTTCTAATATTACTGTCATTACGTACAGTAGGCCTACAACAGCTGCGTGACAGATTGCATATTACGGTTGAATTGACAATATAAATTACTCCGAATTCGCTATTTTTAACAACTTTTTATTAATTTTTAATGTTTTTTCCATTTACTTATATATATTTTTTTTTAGGTATTAACCAGGGCCCAATAACTGCTGGAGTGATTGGAGCGAGAAAACCACATTACGATATGTGGGGAAACACAGTTAACGTTGCTAGTCGTATGGAAAGCACAGGGAAAGCCGGTTGTATTCAGGCAAGAATATTATGAAAATACACAAAAATTATGAACCTAATGCATCAATCGAACAAAAATGAACTAAATTTCAATGTTTACATGCAGGTTGTTGAAGAAACATCTCGTATATTGGAAGAATTTGGCTACGTTTTCGAACAACGTGGACTCGTCACTGTTAAAGGCAAAGGGAAATTAATGACTTATTACTTAGTTGGCAAAAAACACGAAAATGGAGTAACTTACGAAGATTTACGCAGATCTCCTTCTTTAATACCTAATTCTGCAGCGGATCCTCATTGCCAGTGATTGCCAGACTTTTTTAAATAAAAGGAATTACGCCAGGGACTTAAATTTAAAGGCAAAAAAGTGAATTTTAGTAGATTAGTAAATCGTTTTCTTGTTGTAAATATATTTACCACATATGAAATCAATTACAGGTTTGTATTCTGTAAAATGATTCTGATTGGTTTTATTATAAAGATAATAAATACGGGCACAAATACAGCAAAGTATTGTATATATCGCATCATAAAACTATGACAGGACTATTTGTGATTACTTGTGTGAAAGAAATTTATAAANGGTGTCAGATCCTGACAGGTGAAAGAATCTAACAATCCTTTCTCCTAACTCTTTTCCCCCATCCTTTAGACAAGCGAGACCGGACCTCAAGGTCTTGAGTCGAGTAAGTGGTAGGAGAGGAACATCCTCATAAACATCCTACCCCCTGATTAGTCTCACATCCTGTTATTCAAGGTACAGTCTAAAATATTAATATATATATATAAATATACACATGGATAGGTGCTAATGCACTAACAATGAAATCGTATTATTATGATGCAGAGGAACTTTGCAAAAATTTTGTACAAAATTTAAGAAAAGATTGGCAATTTTATACATAATTTGGATAAGGGCAAGTGAGTGAAGTTTCATTGTATGTATACATAAAATCGATTTGAGTACGTAATAATTAAATTACATTCCTCTACTCTCATTACAATGAGTAGATGTCATATCACATATATATATTATATATGTAAACAGTATACAGTATATATATCTAAGACCCTCTTCATTTTGCTTTAACAAAAGATAATGTTCAACAATTTAAATATGCAAATCCGCAAGTGTTAAAGCGGTAAAACAAATAAAAGGATTTTATTTTAAAATTCAGCACTTAGATTTGATAAAATTTGTTAAAAATTTTTGCACAGATTGAAACTAAGCACCGTTTGTTGTGTAAAGTTCCAATCATAACCTATGCATAACTGTAAATTGTAATTTTTGTCATTAAATAAATAGATGTAAATAAAAACATGTTCTAAGAAATTCGGATTTAATTGCTTTCTATTTTTACAATAAAACACACACAATTTATTAATATCCATTAATTAAATCAATATAGCGGTAGTTGTTCTGTCCGCTTACGCTTTTTATCTATAGAAGTTAGCAGGAAAAATAATCGTTGTAAGTTACTAAAACACTTCAGCTTCAAAATTATATTATTTCTAATGAAAATGATTTTCTCAAAACACCATAACATCTTCATATTATCTTTTAAAAACTATATAACAAAAAATTAAATTCACTAAAATTTACTTGCGATAATTGGATCTAATCAAAATTTCAAACTGTTTTATGTAATAAAATCACCCCATTGAATTTAAATTAAATTATTTTTCTAGTCTTCGGATATTTTAGTCTGCACAGAAATCATATTTGAAATGTTCATGTAATGGGATCGACTTATAAACAGATCAAATTCGTCAATTTAATGCGAGATCGCAATCGAAAAGGCTCGTAAGGACGATTAGAAATCCAATCCGGATCCTCAAAATTTTCCGTGGGTAGTTCGGGCTGTAGTATCGTTGCTATTACTCATGATAACCCATTCCATTTCTGATCAGGTTTGTTGGTAATGAACTAAATTAAAGTAGATATTGTAAAAAAATCGTACAAAATCTTTTCCAGAAATCTTTAAAAATTCAACTCGCGAAGTTCATTTTTGAAAGCGAAAGTAAAAAATAAGAGAAACTGGGTTAAATTGAATTTCTTAGGCGAGAAGTACAGAATACAAATGACGCATTGTCGTAGGTCTTAATTTTGCTCATTGCGGATGAAACTGGGATATTTAAGCTGACCAAATCAATTCGAATTGTAGAAAATCGGAAAGTTATGATAGAAATCGATTCTGAGCCCTTGTACACAGCGAAACCTGTTCTGGTGGAGGCATCTATCTGATTAGCAAAGATGTAATCAAATGTAAATAGAAAAATAAAATTAAATATATTGATATTATATGGTTCATAAATAAAAATATCCGCAAAATAAAACAGAAAATTTTAACATAATTTTAAATATACATACATACATACATATTATATAATTGTTTTCCCTGTTTGATTATAATTTAACAAAAAATTTAATTGATGATGATGATAAAAGCTTAATAGTAATAGCTTTCCTTCCTTGGTTCCTCCTTCATTTCATTTTTATTTAAAGTCCAATAAATATAAAGTACAAAAATAACAATTTCGAAGTTTTAAAAACTCAAGATGATGATAAAAAATACAATATTATTGATAGAATGATTATTTTTCAAAAAGACGGCCTTGATCAATTTCTACGATAAGAAAATCTTAACTACTCCGTATAGATTTTCCTATTAAAGAGAAGGAACCAGATACGTATGCAATAGCATCCCTTATAACTTTCAAGTATAATTAAGTTTCTTATTTTGTTCCTCGTCTCTTGTCCTTATTGCGACTCCTCTAATCCATTATGTGTCACATCCGCCGTAATGGGCAAAACAAATAATGAACAAGCTGCAGCTTGTTCATTATAATTCGTGAATTTATCTGAAAATTACAGCACAGTAAATTTAAAGTTATTCGCGATTTTCACACTCACTTATGTAATACAATAAGAAGTAAAATATATATATATAACATATGCTACAGGCCAAACGCGATTTCAGGCCAAACTAGTTTATCCTACGCGTGTCAGGATATACTAGTTTAGCTTAGGACAATCTAGTTTGGCCTAAACACTTTAGGCTTAACTAGTTTGTCCTAGGCCGAACTGATTTATGTACTACAAATAGGTGCCGGTGTAAAATATTATTTTGTGTAATTCGAAATGCCACCACAGTACACCCAGTGGTTAAAGTGTACCTAGGTAACCCCAATGGCGGTGCTTCGTTAGGCTGGTTTGGTTAGGTTAACTACATTTTTAGTAGACGTTTCCTTGTTTTTTTCTTTTGTTCAAGAACTACCGTGAATCAATAACTAGTGACGTTAAACAATGGGCGGCCTGCCGGCGGCTCCCCTTCGGGAGAAGTCCGCCGGGAGCACGAACAGTCCGAAGTGCCGCCATTGAGGTTACCTAAGTACACTTAACCCACCCTGTAAAAATAAATAAAAGATTAAATATTTTATATGTTACACTAAGAAACACAAGTTCATTTTAAATTTTAGTTTGACTTTAAAAGTTATTTTTATTATTTCGTTTGAATTTTTGAAAATATTTTCGATTGTTAATTACCTTTAAAAGTGCATAGTTTAATAAAAAAAAAAAAAGTACAAACTGATAAGTACTGATTAGCTTATTTTTATTTTATAGTTTTGTACAAGTGTTGTGCCACTTCTAATCAATACCGTTTTTTATAATTAAGTAGACTATGTTTGAGTAAATATTGTTCATCTAATTGATTGCCTTTTAATTTTATCTTAACCATTAATATACTTAAATCAGGCCTGGCCAATCCGCGGGCCGCATGCGGCCCGTTACATTAAATTGTGTGGTCCGCTAAGCGATATTATACATCTATTAAAACTTTCGTTTTCCGTTTTGTGTATACCAAAACAATTAAATAAATGAAAATTTGCATGTGTCATTGTTATAATGTGCAAGTGCGAGTACGAACTCTTGGTATAACAATGAAATCTTATTCATTTTGTATTTGTTTTACTTTTTTAAAAGCATGTTTGCCTAAATTGTGGCCCATTGCAACGTTACGCGTGATCAAAATGGCCCGCGAGAAAATTTAGGTTGGCCAGGCCTGACTTAAATAATAATTCTAAATCAGTTCGGCCTAGGACAAACTAGTTAAGCCTAAAGTATTTAGGCCAAACTAGATTGTCCTAGGCTAAACTAGTATATCCTGACACGCGTAGGACAAACTAGTTTGACCTGAAATCGGGTTTGGCCGGTAACATATATAATATTGATATATTATGTTTTACTTCGTAATGAAAACGGAACAATTTTTCTTTGATTCCATTCTTATTTTCGAAAAGTCTAGATAATATGCTTTATAAAAATAACAAAATATTTATTTTGAAATAATCACGATCGATTCTTTTAATTTCTTTACAAAAAAAATTATATATTTTCATATATTTTAAATATTCAACTAAAATGGTTGTTAAAGAAAGAATATTACACGCTAGTAACGCGTTAATTGAATTATTGTATAACATTCATGCGTAATTCTTTCATTTTTCATTCTTGCATTACTTCATACTTCAATGGTTTTAATGAGATGTGACAAAACTGAAAAGCAATTTTCCTATAAAATTAATGGATTCTACTTTGCAATGATACAGATTTTACTATGAAAACTTTATACCTATTAACCAGTATATTTCGTTTATTATATAGAAAGGTAATATTTAAAATTTTAACATAAAGATCATTTTTTTTATTTTCATTTGCCTTAAATAGATAATTAATGAATAAAATACGAAGTATATATTAATAAAGTTGACAATATAATTATATAATATTCTGCATTAGTATAAATTAATATTTATTAAATCGATTTATACTATTAATTTAAATTAATATTAATATTTATATTATTTATTTATGAATATTTCTGATATATAAATAACTAATCATTCGGACGTTTATGTAAAAGTAATTACTACATTTTAATTTAATTAGAAAAGGTGCCAATTTATTTTTAAATTATAAATTAAAGTTTTGTTTTAATGAAACGAAAAAAATTATTTTTTAACAAGTATGATTATAATACAATTCTGTCTTTATATAACGTTTAAGATACTGTATATACAAAATTTTTTATTTGAATCTTGCTCTCCTACTTTTGATTTTTGTTTTAATTTTGAATATTAGTTGATATAGTAACTAATAAATACTATATATTTTAATTCTATAACCAATATTTAAGCTATTTTATTAAAATTTTATTGGTTTTTCTGTCTCGAATAGGTGGACGATCAGAAGGTTGTTGTATAATGTGGGATATGAGACGGCCGTGTTGTTGAANAGGGGGAGGGGAAGATGGGGTAAGTATGATAGGAAAGTGTGAAGAAGAGAGTTGTGAGCATCCAGCACCCTGCTCCGTTTATTGGAACCCAAATAAACGTAATACAAAATGAAGAAAAACAATGAAACTGCTCCAATTTGTAGAGTACAACAGACCGCGGATTAAACAAAGTTGAATATTAGTTGATATAGTAACTAATAAATACTATATATTTTAATTCTATAACCAATATTTAAGCTATTTTATTAAAATTTTATTGGTTTTTCTGTCTCGAATAGG